AGAGCCCGAGCTACAGCTAACGAATCTGGAACGAGATGCGAAAATACCCTCAGGGTGATCATTTCATGGCATTTTAAGGATCAGAGTTGATCTGAGTATATATGGGGAAGCAAATGATTGAGTTTCACACCCTTATGGAAATCAGAATCTCGTAAGCAGCCAAACGCTGTTCTGACTGAGCTTTCCGCGACTTCATTCTTGAAATAGGGATAGGTCGACAGGGCCCTCAGGAGTTTATCACGCCTCACCTGTCACGCAGACCAATCAGCTCGACACCTTCAGGCTGAAGATATAGCATACGCTCTCTGGCAAGGAAGTCAGACCATGTTTGACGTATGGTCTGACTTCCAAAAAAAAACCAAAAATCAATCAGAATTCACACGATCTGATCTTCATCGCCAATCGTATTGCTCCTTCCCCCCTTCACGTTTTTTGTCTTCTGACTGAATGTCTGTTGGAAGATTTCTGCTAAACTTTCCATCAGACTTGTTGCTCGACCGGTTGGTGCCGGTAAATCCTGGAAGCCTTCGACTTCGGGCGTTGGTATACTACCTTTCCCGCATCCTGCTATGATTTTTACTAACCAGGTGAGGGACGTTAGAGAGACTCTTTGTATCGAGGGATAGGCGTTCATTTATAACGCAGATAAACTGAGTTTCGAAATGGGCTTATTACTGTAACTGTTCTCTAGGCCCTAGAGTCTAGGGTTAGTCATGGTTGAAGAATATGAACATTTGGTTCTCGTCCATTCAAAGTGGGGGTCTTATACTTCCTGATCTAGGAGCGTGTTCATCTTATATGTATACACTATTGAATATCTTGTGAGTAATTCGATATAGCTGTCACGGAAAGATTTCAGTTCATACAAACGTAGTTCCTTGTATCGCATGAAATCCGCCTGATCCAATAAGCATCATCTCAACTTTCGTAAGAGTTCGTATTCTCTTCGCATTGTTCCTTTTTTTCGATGATCTCGAGACCGCTTTCTTCGTTTAGGTGCCGCAAGTGGGCGTATTCCCTCAAGAGCTCCCATCAGTGTCTCAGTCAGTCCAGGCATTCCATTTTGAAGAGCTTTTTAATATGATGGGAGATGCAACGATGGTTCCATCGCCGGCAACGATCCCAGCTGAGAATACGGTTGGCGATTTGATGGTTTCAGAATCACATTGTTTTCTGGTCAGATTCCGCCCGAAGATGAAGCGTCTGGAGAATCACTGGTTGATGAACAGACTCCAGTCGCGAAGACTGAAACCGCTGCCGCGCCCAAGATGGTGAAAGTGAGCGAGTTTTTTCGCTCAGTCGTAGATCGAGTCACGAAATAGCATAGACATATGTGATTCGCGATGCGCAGCAAAGGGTGGCGTTGAGTGACAGATGATACATTATGGAGAGTCTTATTAGTGTCTTCCATTGGATTTACTCAGGCGGTCAAACTGACCTCATTTCCTAGTGAGAACAAGATCAAGGTGATCAAGGAGATCCGTCAACTGCTCGGGCTGGGATTGAAAGAGGCCAAGGATGTGGGTTCAGCACTGTTGTTGCTGAAAGTTAGTTTATCGTTATCACTTTTGTAGGCTTCCGAAAATCTACCCAGAGTGCTGGCTAAACAAGTTCCTTGGGACGAGGCGAACGGGATAGTTGCGAGGTTTGCCGATCTCGATGCGGAGATCACCATGGAATGAAATGTTTCATCTTTAGTCACACTTCGCATTCAGTTGTCAGAAGTTGGTTTTTATTTACTCCTGCTGTTCACTGCTTCTGTTAATTGCTTTCTGTGACCCACGCAAGAGACGCTCCGTAAATACTCTACGTCACGTCACCACGTGACGGGTGATAGCCGTACCGTTGGTTCTTTTACGAACTACTTTTTCCATCCAAAACAACTCTACTTGTGTCATGACCGTCAAAGCTGACGACGACCAGAGTCCAACTCATGGTTCACCATCCGAGAGACCATTCGAGAATCGTTTCCCCCTTCTTGATGAGACCCTTTATGAGGTGGCTCAGAACGAGACTAAGCTCCCGGACTTGCTAGATGAGAAGCCCTTGAGGAAGCTCGCTGAACCCGAGTTGAACGCAACACAGACTGAACATTACTAGAGGACATGAGTTGAGAGGAACTTAAGGAAATACAAGTTGTATATGTTGTTAGTGAATAATGATGGTCCCGCCTGAAAACAGTGAATCCTGAAAAAGGTGAAGGGCGAGTGAACCCGTTGTCGGGACTTTTTCTCCCACTTGAACGGGTGAAAGCCTGACAATAGTGAACAACAAACTCGCCCGCACCGGTATCCTAAATATCAGTAATTTTTCTACCACTCCTTCCCGAACCGATTCAACTTTCAATGATCCCTCTCTCTCCGGTTGCTTAATGTTTGATTGGTCAGCTTGATCACAGGAACCGCAGCGCAGTCATTGAAGTCCGGGGCACATATTATACAGATTGACATCTTTTTCACGCCTAGTTCTTCGTTGCGTGTCTTGAAGCGACTTTTCAAAAGTAGGAGCAACACGAACGGTCTAGTAATAGCTTTTGAGTCACCCTATGCCATGGTTGTGGACAGGAAGTAGTACTTCCGAAGTACCGAACGGTGCTCTTTCTTCGGGATTCGGGATTCGGAAATCCGTGTCGTCTCCAGTCCACTTTTGATCAAATATTTTGTCTCCTGTTCCACTGTTCCATTACGAGGGAGTGAGTTTTCAATCCGTTACCAACTAGCTGAAATACGCGATTCCCATGAGCAAAGCGTTTGAGTCCATAGCAGTGACTATAGAAGAAGTGTGGGAACCTTGTGGTTGAACAATTCTGGCAGTACCACAAAGATAAACAGCAATGCATGAGGCAACAGGTCCTAATGCCTGTTCCTCTTGAACATGAACAAATACAACTTCTAAGTTATACTGACCTCTGGATAGGATTGTATTAGAACTCGTGGACCCGGAGTAACTGCTAAGGAGGCGTACCAGCTAAGTTAGGCAAGCTTAATGGCCCGCGCTGGTCAATACCTCAACCGCCGCGGTTGAACCGCGTCTCAATTACAAAATTACCATAATCATTACGGGAATTGAACCTTGGACAGTCGATTACCAACTCTAACGACTAACCACTAAACCAACCGCTCGATTACAACTCATACGACGTAAGGGAATCTCGGCTTGAATTTTGTTGGCGCGCGCTGATGGCGCGCGCTAGTTCCTTCACTGTTATCAGGGCTCGCGGGAAATTTTTTCCGGTTCATCATTTCCAGGATTCACTGTTTTCACGGACAACCAATAGTGATGGCAATGTTCCTAGCGAAACGCTAGGGGACAAAATCCTTTGTGTATGCGTGCAACACAAAGGAAAAGAATTTCGCTCAACGCCACGGAACGACTGTCCCAATCACTGCCGGGACCGGCTCGGAATATCGGTGTCGAACCTATTGGCAGCCTATTATGTGTTCTGGCATAAACGAGCTAGTGGCACAATGGCAAATTGTGTCATCATGTCTCCACTACTCTCCACTACCCGCTACTCTGGTTACCACTCTCCTTGGCTTTGGTCGTTTTACGCTCTATACATAGGTTAAAGGTCTATCTCTACTATGCCCAGATGGCAAGCAGGTGTTCACTCTTGGTCGTTTCATATCCTGCGAGGTTGATAGTGGGCAAAAATACAGCCGTAGGTCGTATTAAGCCCTATCTATCAACCGGTCAAAATCCATCGAGATCTGGCTCATCGGGGAACTACTTTTCCCCGATCCTCGTGGGACAACAAATTGTGCCACACGTTGATATCCTTCGCACGCCCAACGAAACGCTCGGATTCGCCTCAGTTATAACAAGCCCGAGACGCCATTTGGCTAGTTCGGCCTCTCGAGACTTGTTCTCTTTCAGCTCTGTATGACACGAGAAGGTCTCAATCCACTGGCCGAATCAAGCCCCTTCACTCGAGGCCACCAACCCAGCTTAGTCTCCGGAACCACCTTGGCAACCAAGGTTGGTTGGTTATCGGTGGAGGGCAGCTCATTGTCCTTTTGTTTTATTTTGGCGTTGTGTTATGTTCCTCCAAATGGGCAGTGCACCCATGGAGGAACAACCCGCGATCGAAGGGATCGCGAAGCTTCGCACCGTGCGAAGGAGGTCGCCGGCGTTGTCTCCTCTATGACAACTCGAGCACCTCGGGCAAGACTCTCCAGGGAACGTCTCAGGACCGAACCGGACCCTTGTCCAGCGAGGGGACCCCACCACCCACTCGCAAATGCCCCTCCGGGGAGCATGCGAATCAATGTGACTAGTGTCTGGGACATCATCTGCTTCGTAGCAGACCGTCAATCCAACTCACGCAGTTGACGGTGAGACATGGTCGTCGGTCTCTTCTACACGCCCGCAACCTACTGCTGTGAGCGCCTCTTTGCTAGCTTACCTTGTCAGCTTACTTTGTCAGCTCTTCCTCCTCACACATGATGCCCGCAGATGACCAGCCGACTCGTGAAGAGATCGAAGCAGCCCGAGTCGCTGCGATGACCGCCGGCAAGACTGACAACGGTGACAATGCTGAAGGATCCGCTAAGTGGAAGGACTCTGGTGCCCCTGCGTGTTCTTCCCAAACCATCACCGACCTATCGAGTGGGCTGGCAGCCTTCCTTCAAATGAGTCAAGACGGTACCAACAAACAGAACAAGTCCATCCCCAATCTTGAAGCCCTTCTCAGTGGCACTCCCTACCTTAGGGTATGTGCCACGACCTCCATCCCGAAGACTCACTGGTCAGAGTTCATGCGAGTTGTCTGAGCAGTGGTCATGCTGACAAGATCAGACACGTTCTGGCGCTCCCGATCAGGCGCTTCTTCCGGCCCAACGAGGATCCCGGTATGATGAGCAATGTCTTCAAAGCTCTATTGAGATGGTCTACTACCGTTGTTCTGATCGGAAACTGCAAGGCCAACTCTGACAGTGAGTGCGACACATTGCAGATGGGACCACTTCTCACACATCTGCTAAATTGTGCTCAGGCCACCTCAAGGAA